GTTTGTTTTTATCTTTAATCATTAAATATTTTTTTCAATGTTCCTTGTCCATCACGAGCTTGGCGAAAGAATCGATAAGACTTCTGAAAGCTTCGCGGTTTCGGTCGTCGTGCAGGCCGTTCACTATGTTGGCCACGCCCTGGCGCAGACGCATGTCCTTGACGTTCGCCTTCGTCGACCCGTAGCACAGATGCGACGGTCGACAGCACCTGGAGTGTTCCTCCACGCACATCTCGCACCTCATGGGATCGTGCCGAACGACGTGACGTTCCATGTTCTTTCCGCGGTGAGAGAACAGTTCCGTCGACGTCAAGTCGCCGTACTTTCATCCGGCAGTCGTCCTGTAGAAGGTCTTGTTCTTCGAAAGCCAGCACCCGCTGACGGGAAACACCTTGCACGCTGTCAGTTTCGCCGTCATTTCCTTCAGCAGCTTCTCCGGTTGCCGTCCCGTTCTGATCGCGACAGTCGACACCGATGTGTATAAGAGACAGCACCACGCTCCCCGAAATCCTGTCCAGGACGGCGTCGTAGTACCGGTCGCCGAAATGAGCTCGGAGGGCGTAGTGCAACGACGCGTCGTAATCGGCGGAGAAACAGGTCGGTACCGGCTCCGACGCGATGCGTGCCGATACCTCCGTTTCCGAGCGAACGGCCTTTTCGCCAACGTACACTATCGTCTTCGTGTCCAGGATGCGCCACGCGGTCCTGTTTCCGGACGCGCGCCTGACGAGCGCGTGACATCCCATGGACACTGCGTTCGAAAAGGACACGTTACACCGGACTCCCCGTCGTTCGTCTAGAACCACCGCCTTCGACAGCCATCTCATGTCGAGCGGGACGTCGTCCTCGGAGGTCGGAGATTCCACCGCGTACACAGCCTCCACGGGCGCCTTCCTGCCCAACAAGCCCATCGGAGCGTCATCGGACGAAACGTATCGCGTGTACAGGACCGGCGGAAGATCCGCGGGGTTCAAGTATTGCCGAGGAAATTCGAGAACCGGTCGTCTGACGTCTCTCGACGGACCGCGATATTCGGTCCGGGACATCTTGCAGACGTTGGAAAGTCGAAGACGAGGCGGAGTCACGTCAGACGACGTAAACGGTGTTCTCTCGGGACGCTGCGCAGTTATCGTTCGACTCACTATCGAAAAACATTATATAAAGACAGACTTAAAAAAAATTGAAAGTCACACACAGGTTTATGGTTTTTTTTGTTCAAGTTTTGTTTTATTTATTCATTTATTCGTTCGTTCGTTGGTAAGTACGTCTGGTTTTGGGTAATTTATGGTAGTTTGCACACGAGAACCGTATCTGCTTCTCGAAACGGGAGACGGAATAACTCTGGGGTCGAAATCTATCCGACAGATCGCATTCGACGAACACGACCGTGTCCCACACCTTCCGGAAGAGCTGCAATCGCCTCTCCTCGCATTGGACTAGGTGGAAGACGTCCAGACAGTCTCTGATTAAAGTACCTTTCCATTTCTCGAAGCATCGACGACTTCGAAGTGGTCGTCGACACGGTTGCATCCTCTCCGGGAACGTCCTACGAAGAAGATCGGTGTCGCCGAAATGGTTTACGAATTCGGCGAAGAGTTCCCTCCTTCAGTCCTGCATCCATTTCAGTTGCAGGCGTCTCGCCTCTCGAGAGTCGGTTCGTTCGGTCGGCGGCATGTTAGTTACTGACCCGCAATACCTTGCGGGGCCCGTTTTTGTCTTTTCGCCTGTCCGTGAACGAAGTTCGGCAGGATCCTCACGTCCTCCTGGTTCAGGTGCGTTCCGTAGTAAATTGACAATTCCAAGGCAACCGCGTTAGGCAGAACGTCCGGTAAAGGCCGCAAGACGGTGAGGCGTCCCAGAACGTCGGACGGCGGACCGCACCTTGTCCGGTTCGCCCGCTCGTCCGAATCGACGATCGCGTTCAGTTGCTCGATGCGAAAATGCAGATCTCTCTTTGCGGCATCGGCCTTCTCCTCGTGAAAACGTTTCCTTCGACCCGTAACTTCGGTGGTCAAAGTGCTGCACACGTCGGACGCCAACCTGTCGATGGCTTCCAATCCGGAACGGAGCTTCTCGTCGAGGATGCGTTTCCGACGCATCAACTCATTCAAATCTTTGGCCTTGTGCTCGCGGAGCTCGTCGGCCGTCGCGGAAATGATCGTACCTTCCGCCAACGACAGGCGGTATCCCCTTCGTACCCTTCTTGGATGGCACGCGTGGACGTCCACCACACCGAGTTCGTTTCCGGTATGGACACGAGACACGGCTTCAGAGGACACTCGTAGCACGAGACGTCGTCGCACACTGTCGTTCACTTCAGCAACTTCGGCCACCTAGGTGCGAGTTCGTACAGGGCGTGCACCGTCCGCTTGTCGGTCAGGACCGAATTGTACCACTTTTCCTGGTTGAACGTCAAAATCAGGTATAGTCGATTCTCGGTCTCGTCGGTGTTCAAGATGACCCACCACAGAATTTGGCAATTGCGTCCTCGACCTTCGGTGCATCGAAGATGGAACAGTGAGGTGGTGCCGAGTGAAGCGACGACGTTTCTGAATTTCATCTGCACCGGTCGCTCGAAGCCGCTCCTGGCGACGGCGTTCAGCGCCTCCGTCACTCGACCGCCGAAGACGAACGGTTCGCAACAGCCGAGGAGATCAAGGCATCGACGATCGTTCGCCATAAATCGGTCCATGCACGTCATAATATTGGACGCGAATTCGTTGATCTCCTCGAGGCGGAAGTTCTTCGTGCACACCAGCAGATTGCGTTTGGTCCGTTCCAGCAACGCATCTTTGAGATCTTCGTTCAGCAGCAGGTATGCGGCGACGGACACGGCGAACACGTACGCGTTCAGGTCGCCCAAGTCCTCTTCCGACTTGCAGTCTTCGTCAAGAAACCGCAACAACCTCACGGTCGTTTCGATCGGGCGCGAACACGTCGCGACAGAGGAGAGATCAAACAGTATTTGGCCGCCGGAACGATAGACGTCTTCTCCGCATTCGATTCTAAAGTCCGCGAAACCTTGTACGAAGCCGGACATGACCGTCCAACGTCTCAATTCATTTTTCGCCCTGTACGTCCCGCTTCATTATCCGAGTTTGATGTTGAACGTCAACGCCATGGTTCGTCGCGAACGAACAATGCTACCCGAATTACTTATTCTTCTTGTTTTTATACTCGACGGTCTCTTCTTTAAAAGGAAACAACTGGCTTCGAAATTAACATATGAACGCGAGACGCAGAAAGTAGAATACAATCGGCATGCTGTTCTTATTCCCCCTGATAGTGATGTTAGTTTCGGTCGCGTATCCTATGCCGACCGAAGATCAATCGCCTTCGACGAACGAAATCGACGTCTCTTTCGCAACGAGCATC